GCTCACCGCAACCTCCGCCTCCTGGGTTCAGGCAATTCTCCTGCCTCAACCTCCTGAGTAGCTGGGATTACAGGCACACGCCACCATGCCCAGCTAATTTTTTGTATTTTTAGTAGAGACGGGGTTTCACCATGTTGACCAGGATGGTCTCGATCTCTTGACCTCCTTATCCACCCGCCTCGGCCTCCCAAAGTGCTGGGATTACAGGCTTGAGCCACCGCGCCCGGCTTTAAATTTTTTTTGTAGAGATGAGGTCTCACTGTGTTGCCCAGGCTGGTCTTGAACTCCTAGCCTCAAGTAATTTTTCCACTTTGGCTTCCCAAAGTACTGGGATTACAGGCGTAAACTACTGTGCCTGGCCTATTATTCAACTTTTTATAAGAGTATCAACCCAGTTTATCAAGCCATTGCTACATATACAGTATTGCAGAGAAGTCTATATTATCACTTTAGAAGCATGCCAAGGTAGAAGGGCTGGCCTGGACTCCAACCTATGCCAAAGTCCATGTATGCATTTTATTCTGCTTTCATCTGTACTTCTGCCCATTGGCACATGGTAGGGTCCAAGTACATATTTGCTGAATGTATAAGTGAATGACTAATTTTGTGGGTAAAAGTTGATTGTTTCAATGAAAAATTCATCTAGAAGAAGAGGAGGTTACTTCAAACAGAACCTGGCAGTTGGGTAAATACCTCCAAGTGTCTGTCTCCATAACCACATTTTAGCAAGATTCCCAATTTCATCAAATATTAGGTGCTGACTTACACTACTAAACCTATTTTAGTAGTGTAATCATACTCAGTAAGTTTCAGGGAATGGGGACCAGTCATCTGCATATCCTTGCCGTGGGTAGATTTTCTCATGGTGACTAAATTAGAGATCAGAGGGTTTGCTGGCTGAACAAATAATGATTTCCATTTGAAAAGAAATAGTATGCAATTTCTTACTGACCTTTTGAAAAATTTTTAGGTATTGCCGGATGCTGTGCCAAAACAACAGTTGCCCCATTGGATCGAGTAAAAGTTTTATTACAAGCTCACAATCACCATTACAAGCATTTAGGTGAGTTAATAGATGCTAAAGAAAAAAAAATGCAAAAAAAAAAAAAATAGACGCTAAAGATAAAAATCAATGAAAATATTTTGGAAAGTGGCACAAAAGGGAATTTAAGTTTGGGGGCAAATTTGTTCTTTTCTTTTTCTCTGCCAGAAACTGGAAAGGGGGCAAATTTTCCAAATAATATATTTCTTATCCATTATAATTCTTTGATTTGCAGTAATGGTCATATATATTATCATTTTAGGAAGCTGATATTTTCCTAGCCCAAATCTTGGAATCATTGAAGTAAATATGTGTTTATTGGGATTAATGAGTCATTGTTCATAGACACATTTGACAGCTCAGTCTGATTTTTTTTTTTTTTGTTTTTTTTTTTTTTTTTTGAGATGGAGTTTTGCTCTTGTTACCCAGGCTGGAGTGCAATGGTGCCATCTCGGCCCACTGCAACCTCCGTCTCCTGGGTTCAGGCAATTCTCCTGCCTCAGCCTCCTGTCTACTTTAGCTTCTTATAAAAAGTGTGACATTACTTCCAAGGCATCAAAGACTTATTTTTATTTTGTCTTTTATTTTAGTAAACTTTTTTGGTTTTTGGTATCAGGGTCTTATTCTGTCACCCCAGCTGGATTGCAGTGTTACGATCACAGCTCACTGCAGCCTGTACCTCCTGGGCCCAAGCTATCTTCCTGCCTCAGCCTCCTGAATAGCTGGGACTACAGGCGAGCTCCACCAAGCGGAGGTAACTTTTTTCTTTGAGATGGAGTCTCATTCTGTCGCCCAGGCTGGAGTGCATTGGCAAGATCTCCGCTCACTGCAACCTCTGCCTCCCAGGTTCAAGTGATTGTCCTGCTTCAGCCTACCTAGTAGCTGGGACTACAGGCGTGTGCCATCATGCCCAGCTGATGTTTTGTATTTTCAGTAGAGACAGGGTTTCACCGTGTTACCCAGGATAGTCTATCTCCTGACCTCATGATCCGCCCGCCTCTGCCTTCCAAATTGCTGGGATTACACCTTTGAGCCATTGCACCTGGCCACAGAGCTAACTTTGAAGTTTTTTCTGTAGAGACAATGTCTCACTATGTTGTCTTGGTTGGTGTCAAATTCCTGGGCTCAAGCTATTCTCGCACCTTGGCCCTCCAAAGTGCTCAGATTATTGGCATGAACCACTGTGCATGGCCGTACTTCTTATTTTTATTTTATTTATTTTATTTTTTTGAGATGGAGTCTTGCTGTGTTGCCTAGGCTGGAGTGCAATGGCGTGATCTCAGCTCACTGTAACCTCCGCCTCCTAGGTTCAAGTGATTCTCCTGCCTTAGCCTCCCGGGTAGCTGGGATTACTGGCATGTACCAGCACACTGGCTAATTTTTGTATTTTTAGTAGAGGTGGGGTTTCACCATGTTGACCAAGCTGGTCTCGAACTCCTGACCTCGGGTCATCCACCCGCCTTGGCCTCCTAAAGTTCTGGGATTACAGGCGTGAGCCACTATGCCTGGCCATACTTATTTTAAATTAAAATTATTTTGGTCATATTATAAGGAAGGAGTATATTTAAAATTTCTCCTGGTCCCAATTTGTTTTGTTTTTTTCAGATAGAGTTTCACCCTTGTTGTCCAGGCTGGAGTGCGGTGGCATGATCTCAGCTCACTGCAACTTCCAACACCTGGCTTCAAACAGTTCTCCTGCTTCCACCTCCCCAGTAGCTGGGATTACAGGTACCCGCCACCATGTCCAGCTAATTTTTCTTTGTAGTAGAGACAGCGTTTTACCATGTTGGTCAGGCTGGTCTCGAACCACTGACCTTAAGTGATCTGCTGCCTCTGTCTCCCAAGTGCTGGAATTACAGACATGAGCCACAGCACCTGGCCCCTTTTTTAGAAGTGCTATATCTGTCAGGTGCAATGTCTCACGCCTGTAATCTCAGCACTTTCGGGAGGCCGAGGCGGGTGGATCATGAGGTCAGGAGATTGAGATCATCCTGGCCAACATGGTGAAACCCTGTCTCTACTAAAAATACAAAAATTAGCTGGGTGTGGTGATGCATGCCTGTAATTCCATGTACTCATGAGGCTGAGTAGGAGAATCGTTGAACCCAGGAGGTGGAGGTTGCCGTGACCCAGATCACGCCACTGCTCTCCAGCCTAGCGACAGAGCGAGACTCTAAAAAAAAAAATTTTTTTGACAATAAAATCATTTTTTTTTTTTGTTATTATTTTTTAAGATGGGGTTTCACCATGATGGCCAGGCTGGTCTTGAACTCCTGACCTCAAGTGATCCACCCACCTCGGCCTCCCAAAGTGCTAGGATAATAGGCGTGAGCCACGGCGCCCAGCCACAATAAAAATATTTTAAGTAATAACATAAGAAACATACGTAGATCTACAATAGTGCTTTGGAAATAAACATTGTCAGTGTAGTTGACACCCCCATGGCACCTCTACTTTATCATTAGCCTTCCTGTGTCTGCTAGGTAATCATTGTTCTAAATTTGATCACCCTTTAATTGTTACAAATACTTCTTCTTTTTTTTTTTTTTTTTTTTTTGGGGGGGGTTTTCCATGTTCGCGATGGTGTCGTACTGTTGACCTCAGTTGATCTGCCCGCCTCGGCCTCCCAAAGTGCTGGGATTACAAGCGTGAGCCACCGTACCCGGCCATTACAAACACTTTTGAATCAAATTAAATAGGACTTAACCTTTGTTTCTGGTTCCAGCAAGAGGAAGTTTTTTTTTTTTTTTCCCCCCACCCCCGGCCGCCGCGTCTTCCCTGCAGATCGGGAGGAGAAGAGGTAGCCAGGTGGAAGTTTTAATAGAATTCTTTTTTTAAAGCTTCCTGTTACTCTCCTATCCATATTTTGTATCCTCTGTTCTCTTGATGAATTGACACTTTTTTTTTTTTTTTTTTTTTTTTGCGGGGGTTTTGCTTTTTTTTCCCCAGCTCGGAGTGCAATGGCGCGATCTCGGCTCACCGCAACCTCCGCCTCCTGGGTTCAGGCAATTCTCCTGCCTCAGCCTCCTGAGCAGCTGGGATTACAGGCACGCGCCACCATGCCCAGCTAATGTTTTTTGTATTTTTAGTAGAGACGGGGTTTCACCATGTTGACCAGGATGGTCTCGATCTCTTGACCTCGTGATCCACCCGCCTCGGCCTCCCAAAGTGCTGGGATTACAGGCTTGAGCCACCGCGCCCGGCGAATTGACACTTTTATTGGTATGAGCTGTTCTTTGTGTTGTTAGAGTCGTGCATTTTACTTTTTACATATGTCATAAACTCCAGAATTCATTACCATAATTTTTGTTCAAACAAGCAATTATCTTTTTTGTTAATTTGTTTTTTTGAGATGGAGTTTTACTGTATCACCCAGGCTGGAGTGCAGTGGCGGGATCTTGGCTCGCTGCAACCTCTGCCTCCTGGGTTCAAGCAATTCTCCTGCTTCAGCCTCCTGAGTAGCTGGGATTACAGGCCCAGGACACCATGCCTGCCTAACTTTTGTTATTTTTTTAGTAGAGACAGGGTTTTACCATGTTGCCCAAATTCCTGACCACAGGTGATCCACCTGCCTTGGCCTCCCAAAGTGCGGGGATTACAGGTGTGAGCCACTGTGCCTGGCCAGAATTCTTAACAAAATGTTAGTCCATTTATATATCTGCTTATTATAAAATACTTTTGGGATATATCTTTTGGATGTTAATAAGTACCTACAATTTATCCTTCCAGATAGATTGTCTTCAGTACAAACGTGGACATCGCATATATTTCTGTTGTTAATATTTTAGATTGCTATAGTTTAATATAATTTGCTGTAGTTACAAATCAAATTTGCTATAATTTGTAGTTGTTTCTAGGGTAGGTTTTATATTACATGAGGTGTGTTTATATTATTTGGATATATGATGTATTTTTAGTAGGTTTAACTGTTGTATAGAAATTACTATTCGTGTAATCCTTCAAGCAAAATTATCCCGAGTGATGGCACAATTATCTTTGTCTGTAATTATCACAGATTTAGATAATTTTCTCTTTTTTAACAGCATTTTTCTTCAAAAACAGGAGTATTTTCTGCATTGTTTGCTGTTCCCCGAAAAGAAGGATTCCTTGGGTTGTATAAAGGAAATGGTGCAATGATGATTCGAATCTTTCCCTATGGCGCAATCCAGTTTATGGCATTTGAGCATTATAAAACGGTAAACTTTGATCTTTTCTCTTTTGCATTCTTGAATATTATGCATGCTTGACCAGGCATTTGCTTTGGACATATAAAAATACATAAAAGTGGGGGCCGGGCGCGGTGGCTCAAGCCTGTAATCCCAGCACTTTGGGAGGCCGAGGCGGGTGGATCACGAGGTCAAGAGATCGAGACCATCCTGGTCAACATGGTGAAACCCCGCCTCTACTAAAAAAAAATACAAAAAATTAGCTGGGCATGGTGGTGCGTGCATGTAATCCCAGCTACTCAGGAGGCTGAGGCAGGGGAATTGCCTGAACCCAGGAGGCGGAGGTTGTGGTGAGCCGAGATCGCGCCATTGCACTCCAGCCTGGGTAACAAGAGCGAAACTCCGTCTCAAAAAAAAAAAAAAAAAAAAAAAAAATACATAAAAGTTTCATAGTTTTAAAAAGTTAAATTTTTTTTTTTTTAATTCTTGAGACCGAATCTCGCTGCCCAGGCTGGAGTGCAATGGCATGATCTTGGCTCACTGCAACCTGTGCCTCCTGAGTTCAAGTGATTCTCCTGCCTCAGCCTCCTGAGTGACTGGTATTATAGGCCTGTGCCACCATGCCTGACGAATTTTGTATTTTTAGTAGAGATGGGGTTTTGCCATCTTGGCCAGGCTGGTCTTGAACTCCTGGCCTCAAGTGATCCTGTTCTTTCAAAGTGTTGTGATTACAGGCGTGAGCCATGGTACCAGGCCGAAAAGTTACTTTTAATAAATGGATACAGTAATGCTTTCTTAAAGGAATAAGACTTGTGATAGCTTAAGATTTTAAATATAACTTGTCTTTGGAGTTACAAATTCCAGAATTGTTAGTAATTTATGAGTAAATTATTTATTTACTGAGATGGAATTTCACTCTTGTTGCCCAGGCTGAACTGCAATGGCATGATCTTAGCTCACTGCAGCCTCTGCCTCCCAGGTTCTTACAGGCATGCACCACCATGCCCGGCTAATTTTGTATTTTTAGTAGAGGCAGAGTCATCATCTTGGTCAGGCTGGTCTGGAACTTCTGACCTTAGGTGATCCACCTGCCCTGGCCTCCCAAAATGCTGGGATTACCAGTGTGAGCCACCTCGCCCAGCTGAATAAATCCTTTTTTATTTTTTATTTATTATTATTATTATTTTAAATAGGGGGTTTCACCATGATGGCCAGGCTGGTCTTGAATTCCTGACCTCAGGTGATCCACCCACCTTGGCCTCCCAAAGTGCTAGGATTACAGGCGTGAGCCACCATGCCCAGCCTCAGCTGAGTAAATTCTTTATGTTCATTCTTTTTTTGCAGTGGCACAATCTCAGCTCACTGCAGCCTCAACCTCATGGGCTCAAAAAATTGTCCCACTTCAGCCTCCTGAGTAATTGGCACTAGCAGCACTAGCGGTAGTGCCACTACCCCAGGCTAATTTTTTTTTTCTTTTTCAGTGGTGGAGTGAAGGCCTGGCTATTTAAAAAAATTGTTTTTGTAGACATGGGGTCTCACTGTGTTACCTATCAATCTCCTGGGCTCAAGTCATCCCTGGGCCTTAGCCTTTTTTTTTTCTTTTCGCGCAGGAGTCTCCCTCTGTTGCTTAGGCTGGAGTGCAGTGGTGGGATCTCAGCTCACTGCAACCTCCATCTCCCAGATTCAGGCAATTCTCCTGCCTCAGCCTCCTGAGTAGCTGGGATTATGGGCGTGTGCTACCACGCCCAGCTAATTTTTGTATTTCTTGTAGAGATGGGGTTTCACCATATTGGTCAGGCTGCTTTTGAACTGCCAACCTTGTGATCTGCCCATCTCGGCCTCCCAGAGTGCTGGGATTACAGGCGTGAGCCACTGCACCCACCTGGGCCTCAGCCTTTACTGTGTTGTTACTCAATTGTAGGAGAGGAACACTGTGGCTTTGGATTTTCTTATTAAATAAAACAGCAAAACTGTATTGTGAAAATCTGTTTTGGAATAATGCAGTAAGTTGTTAGCTTTTTGTAGCCTACTCATTCATTAAGCTTCTCTTGTCAGGCTGAGTGAATGTTTATCCTGTCCAACATTATCTCAACACAGAAAGGAGAGCTTCAGTAGGTATCTTAGTATGAAAAATAAGCAGCAGAGATGGGAACAACATTCTAAGCTAGTCAGCCAGAGAGAATTGATGCCATTTGTATATCAAGAGTTCATTGGCTCTAGTAGCATTAAAAAAAAAAAAATATGCCGGGTGTGGTGGCTCATGCCTGTAATCCTGGCACTTTGGGAGGCTGAGGCGGGTGGATCTCCTGAGGTCAGGAATTTCAGACCAGCCTGGAAACCTTGTCTACTAAAAAATAAAAAATTAAATGGGCATAGTAGCATGCACCTGTAGTTCGAGCTACTTGGGAGGTTGAGGCAGAAGAATAGCTTGGACCCAGGAGGCAGAGGTTGCAGTGAGCCAAGATTTTGCCACTGCACTTCAGCCTGGACAACAGAACGAGACTCCATCTCAAAAACAAACCCCCCAAAACAAAAAAAACCTGGCATTTTATTCACATTCCCCCAGTCACTTGTTAGTGCTTGTGGTCCTTAATACAAAGTATCATATATTTAGCAATTCTAAGCTAGCTTGCTTCTGCAGAAGTGCAAAATATTAAAGCAGAGACTATAGAGGAAATAACGCCTTGTGCTATGATATAACACTGCCAGGCCGGGCGCGGTGGCTCACGCCTGTAATCCCAGCACTTTGGGAGGCCGAGGCGGGTGGATCACGAGGTCAAGAGATTGAGTCCATCCTGGTCAACATGGTGAAACCCCATCTCTACTAAAAATACAAAAATTAGCTGGGCATGGTGGCGCACGCCTGTAGTCCCAGCTACTCGGGAGGCTGAGGCAGGAGAATTGCTTGAACCCAGGAGGCGGAGGTTGCGGTGAGCCGAGATCACGCCATTGCACTCCAGCCTGGGTAACAAGAGCGAAACTCCGTCTCAAAAAAAAAAAAAAAAAAAAAAAAAAAACACTGCCAACCTGTTGGGAGTCACGGTGGCACAGGCCAGTTGTCCTGGCACATGAGGAGCTGAGGCTACACATTTGAGGCTAGCCTGGACAACACAGAAACCTCTCATCCATTAAAAAAAAAAAATTGGCTGGGTGTGGTGGCTCACACCTATAATCCCAGCACTTTGGGAGGCTGAGGTGAGTGGATCACAAGGTCAGGAGTTTGAGACCAGCTTGGCCAAGATGATAAAACCCCATCTCTACTAAAAATACAAATATCAGCTGGATGCAGTGGCGGGTGCTTGTAATCCCAGCTACTCCAGAGGCTGAGGCAAGACAATTGCTTGAACCTGGGAGGTGGAGGTTGCAGTGAGCCGAGATTGCGCCACTGCACTCTAGCCTGAGCAATAGAGCGAGAAAAAAGAAGAAAAATGCCAAGCTTTATTTAATTGTGCTGATTTCATTCACATTTATTCTTAATTTTTTTTTTTTTTTTTTTTTTTTTTTT